TTTTCAAAACAGAAGCTGACTTGTACAATACCAATGGTATATCTAGGTGTGGCATAGATAGTGGGGTTTAAAAACACTAATACAGTAATAAGTATACTAAAATGTCTAACATGCCATCCAAAAGTAGCTACTTATTAATTATTAGTTATTACTTACACATTTAGTATTATATCTGTTTTTAATAATACTAAATAGTAAATATATTTCAATTAAGCCGTTGAACAAATTAAAAAAAAACCTGAGAATATGAAACCGATCATGGTGAATAATGATTTGACAGTTAATAATAAAGTGAATCAATTATACTGTTCGGATTCGAATAATAAACATGTTTTTTTTTTATTAAGAAATATTAATAGTTAATTTAAAATTTATACCTACATAGTTACATAGTATACATTACAATAATCAAATGTTATATGATGCTAAAATGTGATTCAGTATTGGATGTTGTCCATTGACGGACAACTCGTGGGTTAATTTTAGGGAAAGTGTAAAAYTGTATAGTTCCAACAGTTTCTTTTTAAGCAATCAGGCGAATTATAATTTATAGGCTATAGGTGGGTTACCTAAAATTTAATAGAGACGAGACTATTTATAGTGAATTCTGATTGCTAAACTTGACATTTAAAATAGTCAATTACATATTCTAAAAAGAATACATYGTTTCCCTTTATTATTGTACACGAAAATGTGTTTATTTTATGTCAACTATTCAACTACGTTGAAAACTTGGCAWTGTTTTTGTAAAAAATATATTGAAAATTATGTACAAATTTGACGTTTTGCCAAACTTGATGGGTGAATACTGAATAGATATGCCAATCTTCTATGAAAATTCGCAAAATATATTTGGGAACATTGTCAGTAAATAATAAATTATTTTTAGACCAATGAATATGTCAAACCTGCAGGTGTATTCGTATAATTTGGAACATGTTCCGATTTTGTATAAATATAAAATATTACATAGTTATAAAAATACAAAATTATAAAAATTCAAAYAATGCTGAAAAACTTGATCAATAAAGGAATAGATTGTTCGACATATTTTTTTAAGATTAATTTAATAGAGAACTCTAAAATTATATTATTAGTTGCTTTTGTAGTCTTGTTTGAATTAAATAGATGTGTTATTTAAATGCACTTCAAGCATTATTCGAAAAAATGATATGGCCTAAACATACCTAAAACTGTACTTATGGAGGTTTGCGTAGAAGCGCAGAACACAAAATATGCTCAATTACCGTTCACCAAAACAGAAGTGGTATATAATTATAAAACTTAGAAAGTTTAAAACTATTTATGAGCAATACATTAATTTATTACGATTCAAGCGTAGTATATTATAAAGTTTCTTTCGAATAACAATGACATTATTAAATAAGTCAATAGGTAGTCATACTTAATGGATGGATCCATGATGTCCCGTCGAACACAATAATATTATACCATAGAAATAAAACAAACGTGCGCACAATAAAAAACTATGAATCGTTAATTCGATAATACTAATGAATAATGATATAYTGATATATAACATAATATTATAAAAGGTATAGTAGCTAAAATAGAAATACTTTTTCCAATTTTAATTATTAGTAGCATTGCATTATTCAAAAATGAAACAAGTTTAAAATAATCTACAATAGGTTAACTGAGACAATTAACCGAGGAATTCTTGTTAAACAGTGGACTACAAGTTGGTATGGCAAACCATTCGTATAACTGTATACGGTACAAATATTATACTTCAAACGATAGCAGTTATCGCAGTGCAATCACTTTTCGTATTAATGAAACGAAAAAAAATGTCTACCTCTACCTATATTTAAACATGTAACTAAGAACATTACCTTTACAATGAAATCATTTACAATCATATGCATTACTATTATACCTATAACTATTTACTATTATCTCTTGTTCATTGAAACTAATGAGAATATTATAATTAATTRAGAAATATCTTGATTTATTATTTTGATAAGCAATTAGAGATTGATGGAAATATTTTAAAGCATAAATAGAAAATAATGGATAATATCTACTACACTATTAATTTAGCAAATTTTAATGGTTTTGACTTAAAATAATTTTAGAATCATAAATGTTAAACTCAAATTATTGACCTCGACAATTTTTTTTTAAATCGAGAAGATCATTATAAATTCACTAGTCATAAATATGATAATAAATAATATACATACATATACCTTTAATCAATATATTTAAAAAAAAATGTTTATTTAGTTGATTATAAATTAAATCAACATAATAAAGGAATAAAGGACARGATACAGAGATAAGTATGACGGGAACTCGACTATCGCATGACAGTGATGTGCTGTCAACCTATAACATTAAATAATAATGATAAATCATCTTATTAACAACAAAATTGTGACCATAGCTTGGTTAAAGCAGTGCTTGGAAGAGTATCTTCCAAATTTGTTAAGGTCAACGGTTATTTTTGGTACCCAGAAAATTCTCAAGAATTTTAAATGAGAATTCATAATTTGTTTGTGTATCAATATCAAATGACTTTTTTTATTTGTAATAAATAAATAAAAACTTATTGTCTAATAATATAATATATCAATAGAATATGGGTAACAAACAACTATTTTTTTTTTTTTTTTGTAACAATGAACAACTAACACTCCTAAACTAACAGTATAAAGGCTATAAACTATTGCAGACGATAACCATAGGTTTATGACAACGTAAAAAAAATATGTATTTAGTCTTTAGTCATGTAGTCAAACAAAAATATGTACTTTGACCAATACAAGTTGCATACCTCTTCATGGTCAATATGAACTTTGATCAAAATTATTGTAATTCTCTTTTTGGAATAATAACAATTTACAGTGGGTTATTTACTTATTTGGTTTTTTTGAACAGTTTTTCAAAAGGAGTAAATTAAATTTTAAATAATATAATACAAATATATTTTACCATTGTATGATTGTTGGTGTAACATAATAAATTATGTATATTGTMTATAAATAATAGTCATCTGACTATTGTACGTTAGTTATCATCACGATATCATAATATTCTAATTAGATGTTTATGTAATCTTTACCACATAATATAATTTAGATGACCTGTATATTGATTTATTAAGAATTGAATACGTGATTGTAATTTCTAGGAGTTTGATAAAAAAAAGTATTAAATATATTATAATAAATAAATACTAAGAAATATAATACGTATAACTAATTTTACTAGTTATAGTAAGTAAATTATTGTTAACATGATTATTATAATTTTTATTTTATTCGGGTAGTAAATACAAAACTACGAGCATATTAGTTAATCATCTAAAATATGATAAGAATATTTTTAAAACAGAAAAAGATACTATGATGGTCCATAGCAATGGTAACCAGGGACTACAGGGTAGAAGACCACATGAATTTTCGATTTGCATATTTTGCATATTTGTTTTACGCAACCATAACCGCCGAATAGAAACAAATATGTTTCATGTATCATGTYAGTCATGAACTCGTGACAAAGCYAAATTTAAATTTTAAGTTGCATAATATTGTTTATTTTTATTTTTAAAGCATTAAATCTTTTCTTTTATTGATACGTATATCAAAACAACTATATAGTTATTACATAATTTTAGTCTCAGCGCATTGAGGCAATTATATACACTGCTAACTCTCATTGGCCACACAGTAATGGCAACATTCACCCYGCGTGGGCCTTTATTCGATTAGGATTTATTTATAAYAATATTCCTGTCCATAGTATGAAAATTCCAATATCGTTCCAGAAATAACCACACTACCACAGTGTCATTGTTTTTATAGAAATAATAAATATTTTATTCAGGTAGTCTCAGTGATGCCCAGTCATTTTTTTATTTTGTGCTTTTAAGGGCTAAATGCCTAAATGTATAACCATTCGCCCWATTGAAAACATACTTCTTAAGAATTCATTGGTTGTGAATTCTGATAGTGTAATATGCATCATTAATCATTATCAATTATGTTCAATTCGTTTTAAAATTACCAGAAATCTTACGTTACCTACGTAATACATATTATCAGCTTATCTTTAATCTACTATTTTTACAATTGTCAGAAAGAAATTTAACGAACTAAAAAATATTTAAGTATAAAATGTTTTTAAWGAAAACGCCGCAMTGTTAACACGTATTAAATATAAGCGAGACAACAAAAATAATAAACGCCAATATATTATAAACTAAATTGATTATTTTAGATAAATAAAGATAAAATACATTTTAAATTATCAATGTAATTACATGGTATATAGGCGTAGGCATTGTATACAATATGTGGTATAGGCACAGGATACAATAAAGGTGTATTATAGGCGTAGATTTATTAGTTTTATTGATACCCACTATAACTGCTATCATATTAGTTGACTATATCTAGACGGCAACTCTCCCATGCATTGATTAGCAGYTCATAATATTAATATATAGTGTTAGATTTAAAATAATATAATGGATTTCAATTATGTGACGCTACTACGCTAGTTTTCCAATTATATGCGTTTACTTATCTATTGAGGTATATTAAATCTATTTTTAAAATGCTAATCGAAAGCACAATCTATTCTTATAAAAGTAAATTAAATACAATTTTGTCCTTCGGTAATACAATATTATTTATACGCATTTACWACTGTTGACCTTTCTTCAAGAATTTGTATGCACCTTTTTATGTAACAAGGTTTTTTGTTGTTCTGAGAAAAAAATCAATAATGTTAGTGGTATAAGAGCAAACATTACACACAAATTGTAGATTATTATAAAT